CCCCCCCCCCCCCCCCCGCAAAAAAGAGATAGGGAGGCCGTCTCAACGGCGAAACTACTGAAGCCAGCCAACACACGAGAGCATCCACCGACTTGTGGCACCCCGCGCCTCCCTCTTCTCACCTCCTTCCACCCTAGCGCGGCGAGTTTGTCGCTGTTGATGGTGTACCGTAGGTCGTTGAAAACCCTGTCATCCCCAAACTCGGTGACCTTGTCCCCATCTTCCGAAGGCAGTTCGAAGATCCTGCCGCAGAAAAAAAAACAGAAAAAAAAGGTCAACACCACCACAAGCCGCGGGATTTGACAAGAATCCGCATCGCCCCGCGCCGTGATATCTATGTGCACCACTCTGAATCTGAAAAGCATGAAAATGTCGCTCGAGGCGGTGAGACAAACACCTGGGAGCGACGAGATCAATACAAGAGCAGGAAGCCAGCGCGCAACAAAAGGGGTGATTCCCCCACATGCATTTCACGTCACATATATACAGCGAAAGGCGTGTTGATTGGAGGCAGAAGAGATGGGACGAACACAAACAAACACGCACGCACCCGGTCGCCCAGGTGGTCTAGTGGGTAGCCTCGCAGCCTACTAAGGGCCAGGTCATGGGTTCGAGTCCCGACAGAGTGAGTTTTTTCTCGCTAACTAAATCCTGGTCTCCGTTGGAAGCGACGCGCTGCAAAGCTCGTTGTTAGTAAACTTGATCGACTTCATGAGTCGCGAGGGAAGGGATTGCCTTACCCTTCTCGCGATAAAAATATCTCAGGCAGGAACCGCTGGAGGGGGTCCAACCCCCCCCTCCTATGTGGCCCCGGTTGGGTCGTCTAGCTGGTAGAAGTGGAGGATAGGGGCCTGAGGGGCAGACGACAGAGTCCAATGATGGGAAAGAAACAACAACAACAACAACAACACACACCTCATGAGGTCCCTGGCGACTTTCAAGACCGAGTGCTCGTTTGTGCCCCCTATGTTGTAGATGCTTCCCTCCACCCCCGCGTGAAGGATCTTCTCGAAGGCCGTCGCGACGTCGGCAACGTGAAGAAAGTTCCTCTTGTTGCTCCCTGGTGCAGTACCATGCACACAGAATAAGGTAAATCGGCAGTGTTTCTGTTAGGGGGGCCGCAGAAAGCAAAATATTCGTAAACTTACGAACCCCTGGTACATATCAGTTAGGAACACGACAGAAATATCGTGGGAGGTACGCAGAAGCAATGGTACATATGCACACATGATTGGTGAATCGGCAGTGTCTCTGTTAGGGTGCGCGCAGAAAACACAATTAACGGAACATTGTGTTTTTCATAAATGAAACCAACGCGAACAATCACTAACAAAAAAAGAAATACAAAAAAAAAACGCACCTGTGCCGTGGATCGTGAGCTTCTTGCCCCTCATGAGCTGGTTGATGAACTTGGGGATGAGCTTCTCAGGGTACTGGTGCGGTCCGTACACGTTGTTCCCTCGCGTGATGATCACCGGCAAGTTGAACGACCTTGAAAGTTGACGCACACGTACACGTTTAAAGAAAAAGTCACAAGCAGGCAGTCACCGGTGGCACAACGAGACTTGAGCAATACTTTAACAAAGGGTAGAGAGTGGAAGAAAAAAAAGCGTTCCAGTCCATAACCCCTTGTGAAACCACCGCATCCTCCCTAAGTCTCAAAAAGAGCGAGGCGATAGACCACACCATGCGCTTTTTCTTGTCCTAACAAATAAGACAAGAGGGGTGGCGAAACAGGTATCCAACGGGGGGGAAACAACTCTACGTGTATCGCAGGACCGTCTAGCAGAGTAGATACTTTTCTCTGCCGGGAAGAGGAACGACGTTCTGCCTGCCTCAAAGGACCGACATCTTTTTGTCTCTTCCTGGTCGGTGTCGTGTTTTTGCGGCCGTCGGGGAAACGAGCGCGCTCTTTGCTCCGGTGGTCGTTTCGCGGTCAAAGTTGAGATGAACACGCCGTTCAGATGTGGAGCCGTTCAGGCCAGCAAACCGGTGCCGGACGGAATATTTATATCCGCCTGTACACCCAAAGTTTCGCTTCACGCCAAGGTCGCTCCTNGGCAACGACGTTGTAAAACAAGCCGCCCCCCCCGGTGTTTGCCATCGGGATTGGGTTTTCGTCGCTTGGCAAGGACGATGTAAGACAAGCCAATTCACATCGTGAACTCGGCAACCAGGTTACCGTTTCTTT